CTCTCGGGGCTCGTGCCAGCCCGCTGGCACGTGGCACTTCGGGTCACGCCGGCGGGTTGCAAATCCACTGTGTCAACCCGTGGAGGAATCAACTAGCTGGGATATCAAGGAGGTTTGAGGTTTAATATCCATGATATATATGTATATATAGTAGTGTATGGATTTCATATCCATTTCATATGGCTTAATATCACTATAATTATCATGGATGATCATGGATGTAATCGGCATGGGATAATTGTAGTGATATATCGCCAACTTCATAGTAAGGTTAAGGATATTTAATGGGATCAACCACAACTTTCATGGTTTTCATGGGAAGATCATTGGTGTGGGGTTACGAACTTAGATAAACTTCGTGCACTATATGGGAGTCCCGGGAGTCTACTTAAAGGATCACCCTACCACCCTACGAATCGGGATCACCATTCGATCACCAGGGTTATGAACTAGTTACGATCTAAGTGGGGAATTTTTGAATAGGGAAACGGAGGGTTTTTCATGTTTTTTTCCCGATTTTGTTTGAATTATCGATATCTATTGGTAAGTCAACGGAATCATGGAAGGTGCTCCAGAAATGATGATGGTTTATTGCTTTGGGGGATATTTTTCCGCCACTGAACCATCCACCATCATCTCTGTTTTTTTTTTCCATGTTTGATCTAAGAATCTAAGACAACACTACGATAGAACCAATATTTGGGGGTTGATGTTGAAGCCAGAAATGGTGATTCTAGGGCACGGTAAAGACCAATCTTGCTGGTGGTTTGCAAAGCGGGGTACCCGGCCTGGTAAACGTTAACAAAAATCTATGGAAAATCACCATGCTATTAATGGGAAATGGTGATTTATATGGAAAATCACCATGCTATTAATGGGAACACTGACTATTTCTATGGCCATTTTCCATAGCTATGTAACAGTCATTACCAGAGGGTATAGCTCCATATATCGGGACACCAGAGGGCAAAGTCGTATCCGGTACTTTTGAATACTCAGCTCCCTGCAACGATTCCAGTAAGACACCAAACCAGTGACTGGTTGGTGGTTTCAAACATATTGGGTAAAACATACCACCAACCAGATATATATATATATATCCCATTGAAATACCATGAAAATACTCATTGGTGGTTTCAAACCATGGAATTTTGAATTTTCCATTTCATATATGGGATGTCATCCCAAGCCCATTGACTTTAACTCCATGATTTTTCAAGATGGTGAAATTGCACCACCAAGCATCAGTGACTTTTGAAGCTTGGCTCAAAGATCAGCTGTGCAGCCGCTGCAATCGATACGTCGTCGTCTCATGGCCATTGGAGATCAGCTGATCAGCGAGACCGACAAACATGACTGGCCAAGTCTAACCCAGGACTTGAATGATGGATGATCTCACTACACAAAGCTCATTGGTCTCGACAGATTCTATATAATTATATATATAATTATATGGGGACTCATCCCCAATTGGCCTTAACTCAGATTAGTGACATATCATAATGTATCCAGATTAGTGGGATATGTTGCAATTGTCCAGTCACGAACAGTTTTTCCGCCACTGAAAGCAAACACAGACCTTGCACCTCCCACTCGACAGCCAGAGATTTTTTTCTGACACCTCCACAGTTTTAGAATAAAAAGAATTTGGTTGTTTGACACCTCCACAATTTTCTGACAGCTCCACAGTTTGTACCACCAAAACAGACCCCATTTTTCGGTTCTTTTAGCGTGGCTCTGAGGGACCAGGGAGCATTTCTTTGAATAAAAAGTCCATGATTCACCAAAGCATCCGCTGAATTCCAGAACTGGAGAGATTCCCAGTAATACAGATAAGAATCTAGTAATATAGATATAGATATATAGATATAGATATAGACATATGTATATATATACATACACATACATACATATATATATATATGTATATATATATATGTATATATATGTATATATGTATATATATATATGATATAGCCCATATATCCCCATGAATTCCAGCCATACCCAACGCTTCCAGATCCCAACACGTTCCTTTCGTCCTTTCGCCACGCGCCATGGACGGCTTCGGTGATGCCTTGCTGGGCACCTTACTCTTGGCGCGACTTCCATCGCAGCCACCCGAGGCGCGGCGCGTTGAGTTAACTCCGAATTTTTGGGGAGTTTTGATCATGGAAAAAGAGGTATTTAACTCGCAATGTTCATGGGATTTTAATGGGATTTGAATGGGATTTTAATGGGATTTAATGGTGATTTAATGGGATTTAGTGGGATTTTAATGGGATTTAATGAAATTTTAATGGGATTTAATGGGATTTTGATGGGATTTATGCGAATTTTAATGGGATTTAGGATTTTGATGGGATTTATGCGAATGGAATGTAACACAATGTAACCAACAAAGACATGGGGATTCACCCATGGACTATAGGGATTTAAGAATCGCAGATACTTCTCCAACGGAATATGGAGAATTTGCCAACAGAAATAGGGATGGGGGTTTCCATAGTCATGGAGGTACCCCAATAGCTGGATGTTTTTTTCCATGGAAAATCATATTGACATGATTTTTAACTCAGTGATTTGGGGTAGCCCCATGACTTAAGACACCTGGATTTGTGAGAGACTTGTGACCATTGTGATATTGATTATAAGCGCAGGGATTTGATAAACATTGGTGATCTATGGGATTTACCCTCTGGTAAACATACAAAAAACGATGGACAATCACAATTTTTAATGGGTAAATCCACTATAAATATCCATTTTCAATAGCTATGTAACAAATTACCAGAGGGTAAATGGGATTTTGTGATGTGGTTATAATGGGACTAACTTAAAATTCTATAACTATATCAAACTAGTGGGATATAATGGAGATGCACTGGGGAAAATCTTATTGATAAGTATATCAGATTGATGTGATGAATGTGCCTTCCTTGGGTCAAAACAAAAATGGATTCCCCTAGTCTTCACACCATACTGTAGCTGATATTTATGGATGTTCATTCCCCAAAGTCATGAGAGGTTTTGAGATCCATCCTCAGGTGATTACAGTAATCAATATAGCTATTTACCCTCTGGTAAACATACAAAAAGCTAGCTTGAAAATGGCCCAATCGAAATAGTGGAAATAAACCCATTAAAAATGGGTGGATTTTCCAGTTCGCAAACTGTTAGTTTACCAGAGGGTAATAGGTTATTATTGTCGATGATCATGTTTTAAACTAATGGGGATAATGAATGGAACTGTGGGAAGACCATGGGGATATGATCTCTAATGAATACTCGGGATTTATATAATGGATTTAATGCAATATGATGACTTGGTGATAGAACAACGGGGATTTTGTTTTGCATATGCTATCAGACATATGTATATATATATATACATATGATCTAAGCAACCATATGTTCGAAATAACGGGATATTTATGAAAAGACAAAGGGATCGAGCCATGAAAAAAAGGGATTTGAACAACGAACATGCGGACAAATGTGGGTTTTACCATCACACACGGGTATTTTTCAGGGGATTAAGCAGCTAATAATGTGCAGCAAATACATGTGAGAAGAAAGACGATAATGGGATTAGTAAGTATCTTACAACCCATATGAACTCACACAGTTTTTTGTGCAGTTTTGTGCCAGCTTCGCAATCGTCAGCAGCATCACCACACTGCGACTCCCTGTGACCTTCGTCAGGTGCTGTACTTCTGTCAGGACGAAGAGGAGCCATTGCCATGTTTGATGACCAGAGGATGAACAAATGAATTGATGCCATGTTTGGTTTTCAAGACCCAGCTTTTTAACGGCCCGAAAAAAATTGCAAGGAGGAGGAGGAAAGAGGCAGATTCCTCACTATTTGATTCGTAGTGACTCTGTGCATATCAGGTGCTGGTTGCCTGTTTGAAGTATTTCTTGGATCCAGCATCCATAACCCGGATGATTCTGAGATGACTCATTTTTTTTCAGTATTTATTAAATGTAGCGTCCAGGAGTCCAGGGCCAGGAGATTTCTTGATGCCAAGGGGTTTTTATCCGGTGATTTTCATGCCAAGTTGCCACGAAGTTTCAACCGATGGATACAGATTTCCCAATCGATGTCTCAATCGATTTTGAAGATGGGATGATTATGGGATGATTATGGAATATACCCTCCAGTATCATCACTGGTTGGTGCTTTGGAACATGAATGGATTATGACTTTCCATATTAATTGGGAATTTCATCATCCCCAATTGACTTTCACTCCATCATTTTTCAGACGGGTAGGGCTCAACCACCAACCAGACTAGCTCCATGGCAAGCTGGGAAATCATCCATAAATGGAGGATTTTTCAAGCGCCATGTTTGATTGCCGGACCAACTATGATATATATATATAGCGGGGATGATATAACTATATCAAATTAGTGGGGATTCTTTTCGGATTTTATTGCGATTTCATGGGACTTGTATGGGATTTAAATGGACATAGAATGGACATATGGGATTTTTCCCAACCAGGATTGGATGCGCACAAGAAGCCAAGCACTGTTGGGAATCTATGTGCAGACTTACCTCCACGTATCACGTATATGTATATATTGTTCCTACTTGTAGGTTTGTGATGAGCATAGTTCCGGCAATATGGCCGTCTTACATCTCAAGGAGTTCAAAGCTAGATCCTTCCCATGGATACTACCTTGGTGGTGGCAGTGGGCGCTAGTTGGATCTGCGGGTGGCTTACTAAAGAATACTTTACTCCCAAGCCTGAGATAGCTCCGTGCAAGTGTGAGTGTGCTTGCGTTCAGAAAGGTGAGGGGGGAGGTGTGACAAGTGGCTGGGTGATTTGCTCTATTTCTCTGGCTGTTCTGGTGGTTGTCGCTACGCAAGCGGCATTGGCATTCAAGATCACGGTGACAAGCCGGGAGGGGGTCAGAGAAGTGGACTTTTCTGTCAAAGGGAAGTCAAAGGGCATTTACGGTCCAGTCAGAGGCTTGCAGATCCTAGGATAGATGGCGGTGAACGTAGGTGATGTGGTCTACATGGATTATGGTGAGCAACCCAGGGTGGTTCATACACGACTGGTGCTGGCTGTAGTGGATATGGGACGACATGAGTTCATCATTGCGACCCCAGACAAGGACGTGTATATGGAGGTTCTTCATGATAGCAACCCAGACATAGTTCATTTCTACAATGGAGGTCCCAATGGAGGGTTGCCCCCGAGGGTTCCCAGAAACTGTATCTATGCTTTTGCCCCAATGTCAGCCCAAGAGCTAGCCCAGCTGATGACGGCTGGTCGTGCCGAAGCAGAAGCAGAGATCGTCCGCCGGGGAGCGGCAGCAGTTCACCTTGGTGGTGGCGCAGCACCGGCGGCAGCACCAGCTGGTGGCGCTGGGGTTGAGGCTGTCGGAGAGGACAGTCGTGTTTGGGTCTTGGCAGAGATGGTGGAAGGGAAAAAGATTGGGGATGTTGTGAATCCTCCACCCAATTGTCCCAGTTTGGATGAATTTGGGTTGATGAATCTGAATGATGGGAATGGCAGAAACAGGGTTGTCCTTATCAAGAAGATTGAGCCCAACAAGCTGGCAGAGTTCTGTGAAGAACGAATCAAACTGGCGCGTTCTAGTGAAGCAGCGGATGGTGATGATTTGTATGCAGCCGAAGATGTCCGTACTATGGAGATATCATACAACCCCAATGGTGAGAGAAGTCGTGTTTTCAAGGAAGCAGTTGGGGAGATGGTGGAGGTAGCTTTCGATGATTTTCCGTTTGAGCCTAGGACATGTCTTACCTATTTGAGGGCGGTTGGAAGCATATCGGAGTCATGTTACGGGCAGCATTTGGCCTGGGTTGCACAGGCAAAGATTCCTGATTCAAATCGAGCTATTCATGAAGACGAACTGTTAGCTAGGGTGTTGGACGTTTGCATCACATATGATTGTCTCAACGCAGCAAATCTGGGGTGCATGGAGCTGATTGTTCGTCGTCGTCAGCTCATTGCCCAGGCTCATGCATTGAATCCCGCTGCTCCAAGCTACGACGGAGCAGATCTATTCCTAGGCAACCAATACCGTGCCGGTGGAGGAATAGTGGTACCAGCACTCAAGGAACACGTATCCAAAGGCCTTCATGCGGAGTCTCAGATCCTGAAGGAGAGGCGGAAGCTGGCTGAAGCTAAAGGTAAGGGAGGTGGTGGCCCCGCAAAAAGCGACGGGAAGGGTCGCGGGTCGGGGCAGGCGAACAGTTAGGGTGTGTCAGGGGCTGGGTTTGTTCAGACCGGCGCCCAGTCCTTATTTTTCACAGCTGGTCATGGTACAGAGCTGGTCTAGCCCTATTTTTCATGAACCTTGCGCTGGTGATGGTAGACAACGTGATGTTTTTCCTCTTCCTATGCTTAGCAATGAGGAGCCAGTGAACAAGAAAGTGTGTAGGGCGGTAAGGCAGAGAATTGCACGTAGGCATGGCAAGACAGTTTATGTCAACAAGGCCATCCATGCCTTGAATTCACTTTTTCATGGTGGGTCCAAGAAATTTGCGCAGAAGGTCACTAGCAATTTTGGTTCTCTGTTGGAGGTCCAGAGGTTTGCGATTGAGAACATCCGGAAGCGCATTGATGAGCTGGGTCCCCCACCAAAAACATCTCGCTCAGAAGCCCTTAAGGTGCTTCGGGCTTCGGTGCCGTCCTCCTACGCAGATCAGGAGGTTGATGCCGGATCTCCAGTGCCCATGCAGTTGGATTCCTTGTCATTGCCATCAGGTGCGGTGGGAGGGGTTCGGCTGGTGGATGCGCTTTCTGGTCCAGTCAAAGAGATGGTGGTTGACTTTGAAAATTTCATGCTTGCAGATGCTGACAAATGGTGTGACCTCACAGACAGTGCGGCCGGGATGGAGCCATACAATGATGAGTTGCTCAACAGTAGGACAGGGTACCTGCGGCTTCTGGAGAGGCTGTATCAGAGCGGAGTTTTAAACTTTGCTGAAAGCTGTCGAGGTAGAGTTGGAGCATTCTGCGTTTCGAAAAAATCAAAGGTGATTGATGGGAAGAAGGTGCAAAGGCAGAGGTTAGTTCTTGATTGCCGTCAGACCAATTTGATTTTCAAACCTCCACCACAGACACGGTTGGGTTCCCTTGCGGCGTTGAGTGAAGCCGAACTTCCATCTGGTGAAACGCTATATATGGCTGGGGCTGACATTAAAGACTGTTTCTATGCGGTAAATATGGAGCCTGGTTTACAAGAGTTTTTTGGTCTGAAGTGGGATATTTCGGATGTGGAAGTGCAGCGGATCACACATGGGGGGCACATGGGTCTTGGTGGAAACAACGTGCCGGTGATTAAGGTACTGCCTATGGGTTTCAGCTGGTCCTTTTATTTGGTACAACATATGCACTCAGAACAAGCGTTGAAGTCCTTGGGGTTAGATGAGAAGCACCTATTTCTGGAGGGTCAGCCGGCCCCACTTTTGGAGAAGAACAACATTTGCATCATGCCATACTGTGACAATTTGCATAGCATTTGCACTGACTCCACTGCATGCCAATCCGCGAAGGTAACTATGGCAACTGCATTGGAGGAGATTGGCTTCGAGCTGCATGAGCATCTGGATGCAAACTCGTTGTTCGAAACTTTAGGTGGGGTCGTGGACGGTGCAAAGGGACAGGTTAGGCCAACAAACAGCAAAGTTTGGAAAATTATTCTTGCGTTTGAAATGGCCGCCAACTCTGTCGTTTCCCCTAAGACTATTCAACGGTTGTTGGGTCACTCGATGGTTGTTAGTGTGTTAAATAGATGTGGCATGAGTGTTTTCAGAAAACTGTATGATTTTTCAACTTCAGAATCTTGTGCAAGAAAGCTCACTCAGTCCGAACAAGATGAGTGCCTGATCTTCGCTGGAATAGCGCCACTTTTGATTGCGGATTTGCGACGTGAGTGGTGCTCCACAATTACATGTTCTGACGCTTCTCCTATGGGGTTCGGAATTTGTGAACGTGATTGCGCACCCCTGTTGGCAAAAAAGCATGGTAGGTGGAACGAGCGCTGGCGATTCAAGCGCCTGCCGGCAGAGCTGTGGAAACCACGGCAGAGGAGTGAAGGCTGGGATATATTAGCGGATATTCGGACGGTTGTGGGGGACATGCACGAGGTGAACCTGGAGGATGAATATGTTGCTAATAATGATTTTCCTGAAATACCAGACAGTTTGATGGAACCATTGCAATGGTGCACTGTGAAGATGGGTAAATGGGCTCATACGGAAGAGCATATCACACTGAAAGAAGCAAGGGCACTGTTGATTGCGGTGCGGCGCATGTCCAGATCAAGCAGCTACCGGAACAAGAAACATCTTATTCTGCTAGACAATTTGGCTCTGGTCTTTGCAATCTGCAAGGGTAGGGCCCATTCTTTTGATCTTCTTAGGGTGATCCAAAGGATCTCAGCAATTTGCCTGGCAGCAAATATTGGTCTTAAACCTCGCTGGGTGCGATCAGAAGTCAACGTTGCTGATGCCCCATCCAGAGGGCAGATCAAGCCGGGTACTGGTGGCTCCTTCGTCTCAGCAGAGGCGAGGCCAGCCCATTATCCGGCGCCAGTGCCAGGGTGTAGAGAGGAAGCCCCAGGCTTCGATCAACAAGAGGTTTTTGAAGGGGCAGCCCATGGATCCCTCTTTGCAAGACAAGAAAAAGGTGAAGAGTCGTGTGCTGAAGGGTCAGGAGAAGGCAGTCAGGACCCAGAAACAGCAGAGGAAGTTGAGAACAGTGCAGCCAATCAAACTGGAGAATGCTGGGAAGAGAGCAGTGGGTGGAAAAATGACATGTCTGGAGCTATGCAGTGTGAGTTCAGAGATTCAGTTCCAGTACAAAGGCTACTACCAACGGTTAGAGGCCTTCTCGAAGGAGAACGACATTGTTCTCACCCAGTCATGCGACGTGGCCGACAAAGTACTGGCGGACTACATGGACGTCCTGTACCTGGACCGCCGTCCTCCAGCAGAAGGAGAAAAAACATTGGCGGCATTGGAGTTCTTCCACATTGGGCTGAGAGGCCAACTTCATCGCAGTCGGAGAGCTCTGAGGGGATGGAGAAAGGTGATGCCTGCGCAGAGCAGATTACCAATGCCGAGAGTGCTCATGTTTGGAATGGCGATGATCATGAAGCATCGGGGGAACAACAACATGGCCCTGATGACCCTGCTGGCCTTCGACCTCTACTTGAGGCCAGGCGAAGCCTTGACACTGCTGGGCCGCAATGTGGTGGCACCGGTTGCGGTGGCAGGGGTTCAATTCAGAATGGTCAATGTGGTAGTGAGGGACTTCGAAGCAGGGAAGCCGGACAAGGTGGGCACATACGACACATCACTCAGGCTAGACAATCCAAAGACGCTGTGGATAGGAAAGTTCCTGCTGGATTTAGCGACACAACAAAACAGTCAGGACGAGACCCTGTTCACATTCACCATGGAGGAGTATCGAAAGGAGTTTCGAAAGGTAGGAGAGTTGCTAGGCATCAAAGATTTGCATCCATACCAGCTGCGACATGGCGGGGCCTCAGAAGATCTCAGCAGTGGCTTTCGAGATTTCCAGGGCGTGAAGTCCAGGGGCAGATGGGTGACAGATCAGAGCGTCAGACGCTATGCCAAGACAGGTCGAGTGCAGCAGTTGCTAACAAAGCTGAAACCAGACAAGCTAGCGTTTTGCACCTGGGCGGAGAGAAACATGGAAAAGGTGATGGCAGGAAGAGTGCCAGCCAGAGCAATGTAGACAGCGTGTGGCCTGATGTTTTCACCAGCAAGCCCTTGCCCGAGCGTTTTTGCTTGGAGATTTTTGCGGGATCTGCTAGGATCTCTACGATGCTGAAAAAGGAGGGTCTGAGCGTGTTTCCTATTGATCTATGTCTTTTTCCCTCTCACAACGTATTGCTGAGTGAGATTGAGCAAAGGATTCTGAACTGGATCTCGCAGGGCAGGGTGGAGTTTATTTGGCTAGGTATGCCTTGCACGACTTTTTCAAGGGCTAGGAAGCACGATGGTGTGGGGCCAGGGCCACTGCGGTCAGACGAGTTTCTATGGGGGTTACCTGGACTTAACAGTTCAGATCAACGAAAAGTTCGAGAAGGAAATCAACTTTTTTCATTTACCATGCGCATACTTCGGCAATGCTATTTATCACAAGTTCCCTTTGTGCTGGAGAATCCCCTCACATCCATGGCATGGCAGATGACCCCATTTCAGAAATTCCTACAACAAACTGGTTCACGTTTCTGTGATTTGGACTTCTGTATGTATGGAGAAGTGTGGAAAAAGCCAACGCGTTTGGTTTACAATTTCATCAGTCTGGAGTCATTGTCGATTCGATGCAATTCTGGTTCTCATATATGCTCCCAGACACAGCGGCCTCACCTTCCCCTGAAAGGCGTGGCGCCGAACGGCAAATTCTGGACGTTGGTGGCTCAACCATACCCTTGGTCTCTGGCAGCCGCTGCAGCATCCATTTTGGCCAAAGCACTTCGTGGTTGAGGGGCTGTGACTAGAATTTTTGATGACATCATGAAATGATCGTCAGGCTGATCAATCCAAGAAGGATGACATATCCTTGAACATAAAAGAGGAAAGCTTCTGGCCAAAAATGCAGAGGAACGCTGTGCGGTATCATTGTTCCTACTTGTAGGTTTGTGATGAGCATAGTTCCGGCAATATGGCCGTCTTACATCTCAAGGAGTTCAAAGCTCCGCCACCCATCCCCAACTACCATCTCGGGGGGCTGTGACTAGAATTTTTGATGACATCATGAAATGATCGTCAGGCTGATCAATCCAAGAAGGATGACATATCCATATATATACACATCTATATAAGTTCACATACATATACATACACAGCATGGAACATGTGTATAGTATACCCTCTGGTAAATTAACATAGACCCCGAAAATGACCAATTTATAGTGGTTTCACTAGTCTTCCAACCCCTATTTATCTGGCAGGGTCTATGTTAATTTACCAGAGGGTAACATCAATATCATCCATCATTTTCTCCGGAGAAAATCAACTAAAATCACAGTTGACCCATCATTTTCCCTTCGAAAATCAGGTTTTATACATTTCTCGTTGCAGGTAGGGTTGCTCCAAGCCATAGGTCCATAGCCTCAGGAGTCCATAGAAGGTGTGGATGAGGACGCACCTTGGGCCTGTCAGTTTCTCCAAGGGATCCCTGGATGGGGCTGCAGGACTGGTTATGAAAATCGGTACCCGGCCTGGTAAACGTTCACAAAAAACGATGGAACGATCCACCATTTTTTCATGGGAAAACTCACTATTTCTACTGGGCCATTTTCAATAGCTATGTTAATTTACCAGAGGGTATATCATGGGTGATTAACCATAGGTATTCACCATATCAGGACTAGGTATATTAATATTATTAATAGGCATTAACCATAGGTATATCAATGGTTTTCCAACCGCCATGAATTGTTTTTTCTTCGTGCACTGAACTGACATTTCACTGCACTTCCAAGTGCAAACAGCATGGAGTCACATGACCAGCTGATTCCTGTCCCAGAAGGATTGGACCCATCACAGATGGGGTAAGCTGCGCGTAAGCTGCACCGTTGTTTTGCGCTGCACCAATTTGGGATGGTTGAAACATGTTGAAACCATTGAAACCATTGGAAAATCCATGGGATAAAGGGTTGGATACCCTCTGGTAAACTAACATAGCTATTGAAAATTACCATTTATAGTGGTTTTTCCCATTAAAACTGGTGATTTTCCATAGCTATGTTAAATTACCAGAGGGTAACCGTTTCCAACTGGTGATTCAACGGTGATCAGCCGATCAAGGATGAAGAAGTGGAGCCAACGAGTCCAGCGTTTCTCAGGGTGACCTGGGGAGATTGGCTGAGTGCAGGTGTAAAGCTCCATAAGTTGGAATACAACCCCTATAACTATGGTTAGATAGATGTAGTTATATATATATATATGTATAGGTAATAATATAAACTTCTAACTGGAAAAAGACAACTCCAGTCATGTTTTCACCATGACAAAAGGGGATGACAATTGAGTGTATATATATATAATAAGTTTACATATCGTCACATATCTTCATATAACGATCACTTTCCGGGCAATGCCACCATCAATACCATGATGTCTAAATTAACTAATCCTAGACTTGGATGATGGGACCAAAGGTTTCCTGCCGATTTGCATAAATAGGATCAATCTATTTTAATTCTCCATTCAATTTTCCATGACACCAGGATTAGATAATCATCAAATCCTCCATAAATCCCATTAATCAACATACAAGTAGACAATCATCAAATCCAATTTTCACCATTGCTGATCTGTCTCAACATTAAATCACCCCCTTGATCATATCCAGATCCCCAAAAACACGTCCCCAGCCACCGTATTTAGCTGGTTCATCCCATTTCAATGCCATTTGTTTCCCATCAAAACCACATGAAAAAAAGGACCATTTCAACATCCCCATCAATTCCACCATTTTTCCTCGAACCTCCCCCCTTGAAATCATCATCAATCCTTACAAAATCCCCTGGTTAAATCGTCATTTCGAATGGTTAAATCCTATTAAATCACATGAACATCGCACTAAAATCGAACTAAGTCCCACTAAAACTCACTGAAATCCCATTAAATCCCACTAACATCCCATTAAATTCCCACTAAAATCCAACTAAAATCCTTACAAAACCCCTATGAAACTCCCATGCCGGGCTTCGAACAAATTTCCAGGCTCGAGGGCCCGAGTCGATGGGAGCCCCCTTGATGTCCTCCGCGGAAGACCTCAACAAACAGGCGGGGTCAGGGGTCAGGTGGCTTTGAAGACGTACCGATGGGGATTTCATGAGATTTTAAATGGGTTTAAATGGAATTTGATGAGAGTTGATGGATTTTAATGTGATTTGAATGGGTTTTGATGGACTTTCATGGGATTTGAGTGGGACTTCGATGGAATTTAATATTGATTGGTTTTAAGATTTATATAATCAAGTTTAATATGAACATGTGGGGAAGCCAAAGCAAACATCTGAACATAGGGGGGATTTTACCATGGAATTAGGTATTTAGCTAGCAATGTTTGGGATTTTCAGTAGTGGGATTTATCCGATTCAATGGATTGTAACCAACAAATTTTTATGGGGACGCAACCATGGAATATACGGACTTACCCTCTGGTAAACATACGATGGAAAATCACCATGTTTAATGGGAAAATCAACTATAAATGGCCATTTTCTATAGCTATGTTAAATTACCAGAGGGTAACAATTGCAGATTGGGGTTTATGCAACAAAATCTAGGGAATCAAGCAACAGAAACCGGGATATGATACAGATTCATCAACAAACAGGCCACTGGTAGTATCATCTGGATACATTATTGCAACATCGCTGCGAAGTCACCGTTAGACATGGGACGCAATTTCCAGATGCAGTGGGGAAAATGGTGCCTCAAAATTTTGGTGCCCTCTGGGAATCTAACATTGCCATGACGGCAAAGCTGAAGAAAGGTAAATCAGCGACTGTCGCGATGTCAAATGGCCAGTTTGATGCTGAAACTCATCAGGTTCCCCGTTGAATTTCCCCTACACTTTGGGGATATATCCATATATATATATATATATTCCATTTTCCATCCAAAGCGGTAACCCAAGCAGGTCTCGATGTGATCTTGGTCTGATTTCCAGCATAGGTTTCATCTCGGGCTTTCAAAGTGTTGAACCATTCCTACATTGGAAGTCAGCTGATCCCTTCAACCATTTTTGGTGACATCAGCCAGTTTTGGTCCTTTCAAGCAGATTTGGGGATAGTCACCGATTTTGGCTGGCAACTGCAAAGTTGATATATCGCGCGATATCGTTGATGCATAGAATCGAATAGATCCACTTATATCCATGGCCATTCCAGAATACTATAGAATTAAAACACCCCTATGAATACTATAGAATTATAGACTATATCAAGATATATCACCTATAAACCATAGTTATTGATTCTCAGTTTCATAGCTATTGAACATTTGTTGCATAGCTATTGAATAGCTGGCCCAGTCGAAATAGTGGTTTTTCCCATTAAAAATGGTGATTTTCCATAGTTAAATCCGATCCATTCCCCCGTTGAAAAAAACACGTGGCCTTCCCGCTGCAGGCGCTCCAATTCTTTGGAGTCCGTAGGCTCAGTTTTCGGTGCCAGGGATGTCCGTGTCAACCTCTTCGTGGCGGCGACGAAATCCTCGAAGTAAATGGAGGTTTACCATCTGGTAATTTAACGTAGCTATTGAAAATGGCCCATAGAAATAGTTGATTTACCTACTATAAATGGTGATTTTCCATAGTTACGTTAAATTACCAGAGGGTAGTTCGGGCTTTCCACATAATTTTCTTTGTTTTCAGGAGGATAACTCAGGATAACCATCACAAAAACCATGAAAAATGGTGATTGGACATGACATGTTCAGGGTTTAACCATCAAACATGATGATTTCACAAGCTGGTGAAGCGCATCCATCCGGGTTTCAGCGCATCAAATATGGGGATTTCAGTAATGAAACTGGTGGTCGAATGGGGATGTAATGGGAATATGATGCAAGGTGGGACCCCATACTTAGTTAGCTAAGCTGGTTTATAACAACGATAACGGGTTGATTAGGGATATATATATATACAATATATATATATATATCATGATATAAGATGATATAAGTGGTTTAATTTGTGGTTTAACAATGGTTTATGGTAGATATATCGAACTAGTCAATAGGGCTAACTATGTTCACCTTACCTGGGGGAGCACCTGGTGGGATGTCGCCAGCTCTCTGTCGCCAATCATCCAATACTGTGGCATATCCAAGGGCCAATTGGACCAACTGAAATATACCCAAAACATGTAACATGTGCTAAACGTAGGGAACGGATGGGTTGCTGGGGTTGCTGGGATGATTATTGAACATTATTGATACTTAGCCAGTGGATCATTCCCGAAAATTCCCTACGTTTAGCACAAGTACCCTCTGGTAAACATACAGAAAACTATGGAAAATCACCATATTAATGGGTAAATCCACGAACTAAATCACCATTGTCAATGTCGCAAACTGTTAGTTTACCAGAGGGTAACATAGATAGGGATATTGACATATTGACCGACATAGATGGCATAGCTCGTACCCTCTGGTAAACTAACATAGCTATTGAAAATTGCCATTTATAGTGGATTTTCCCATTAAAAATAGTGATTTTCCATAGTTTTTTGTATGTTTACCAGAGGGTATACCAGGTGGTGTACCAGATATACCTACGACAAACCCAACACTTCAGCCAGCTACTTATTTCAACAAACTTATCTAAGTAGGTGACATCACGGTGACATCACATTGCGGAAATCGGCTCCAGCGGCTCGAACAAAGCTATAGATTCATATCCACAAATCCAATTGTTCGTTTATAAGTTTAGTTTCCCATCGAATCTGTAAGTTATAGATTCATATCCACAGTTTATAAAGTTACTGTTAATCCACTGTAACTGTTTAGTTATCCACAATAGTTCATATAACAAAGTTGTAGTTTATAAGTTCAGCTTCCCATCCAAGAAAGCCTGAAATCTGGAGAATCCAAGGTACTTTGGGGTGCACCTGAGCTTACTTTCATGGCTACAACTTACTGGTGCGTTTTACGTAGGGAATTTTCGGGAATGATCCATTTCATCACATTCGTAATTTCATATAATTTCATCATCCCAGCAACCCCATTCCCAACCCATCCAGCAACCCTACTAACCTTTAGCACCAGTAAGTTTTTGGTCGATAACCCATGAATAACCATAAATTTCACCCTGTCACAACCATTCCAAATCACCATTTTTAGTGGGTAAATCCACTATAAATCACCATTTTCAATGGAAAGATCCACCATTTTTAGTGGGTAAATCCACTATTTCTATGGACAAATCCACTATTTCTATGGACAAATCCACTATTTCTATGGACAAATCCACTATTTCTATGGACAAATCCACTATTTCTATGGACAAATCCACTATTTCTATGGAAAAATCCACTATTTCTATGGAAAAATCCACTATTTCTATGGGATAACGGTGACTTCACCAACCCCCCCCGCAACCGTGTGTTGGGAGCCTGGTGCCCATGGGTGAACTCTGAGGTACCCAGCAGCAGCTTGGCGAAGTTCGTGCTTCCCATGTCGGAGGTAGGGCTAGGGCTGTGCGGTGATGGTCGGTTTGCCGAGGGATCCCCCCGGTGATGCGAAAGAATTGGTAGCGAAATGATGATTTTACTAGGGAAAATGGTGATTTTACTAGGGAAAATGGTGATTTCATGGGATTTTGTGAACATACTGTTTTTTTGGGCCAGCGAAATCCGTTCATCACCAGTTGATAAGTTGATAGATGGCTATGAATCAATACCTATGAAAATACAATTTTTAGAGGGATGAACATCCATAAATCCCAGCTATTTTTTGATGTGAACAAAAGGGGTACAAGGTTTTGACCCACTGCCAGATGGTAAACGTTTATCCCATGATGTTGGATGGATTTCAACCATCCCAAATTGGTGGTGCAGGATTTCGCTGGCCCATCCACAGTATCTCAAATATACTGATACTGGGTAGTATTTGGAGATATTGACCCAGTATAGATGAGATTTGTTGCGGATAGAGCACCATTTTTTGTTGTAGCAACATATCGGAGGCCTCATGTGATTTATCAATGGTCGCAGACTTGGTCTTCGGGACATTTTGCAGATGTATGTTGTACGTTGAAACACATATGTTTTCCTTTTTCATTTGATCTCCCCCCAAATCTCGCACTTTTTATGGCAAAAACGCAGAAGCTTTGGACATTGGAGAATCATTGGAATCGCAATTGGTGAGTCGATGGGTTATAATCCAGTTGTAAATGGGATAATCATCTCAAGCTAGGATTATAAAACAGTTATAAACCAATATAAAACAGTTGTTTGTTATATAACTAAATCCAGTTGTTTGTTTTATAATCCAGCTAGGGTACTTACTAAACAGGGTTACTCACCAGTTACGACGGGTGAGATGATCCTCCAAGTACTTCGTAACTTGCGAATATCCCATGTTACTCTACTCTACCTCTGGGAGTCAACATGGTGCAACGGTGGTAAGGAAAAGGGGTGTCAAAGGGCTTGACATTCGTAATGTATATATATATATACATATATATATACACATATATATATATTGTATATATATATGGGTTTTTCATAAAAAAAATAATGGAGGTACCCAAAATGGATGGTTTAATATGGTTGATAATGAAACATCCTATGAAAATGGATGATTCAGGGGTACCAGTCCAAAACCTCCATGGCGCCAGGAAATGATGTGCAATCAGTGCGCTGTGATGGAGCTGGTTCCGTGGACCTAAACAACCTCCGACTTGGAAACGACGATAAAAAACCTCCTGAAAGAGCCAGGGGTTTGTAACAAGGGCCAGTAAAACATGGAGGTTTAGGGGTTTAATGGGGTTTAATGGGACTAATCTAGTATTTAAGTCTAAGTGTATTTCATGCGTTTAACCACCAAAAGTTGCAATTACCCTCTGGTAAACTAACATAGCTATAGAAAAGCATCATCTTCATCGGCAAATCAACTATAAATTTGCTATTTTCCATAGTTATGTTAGTTTACCAGAGGGTGGGATATTTTCATTGGGAGAACAAGGTTTCAAGCCGGGGAACCCCTCATTTTGGCTGTTTCTGTGCGTGGATGGTGGTCCCAAAGGTGGTTGAACCCTAATTTTGCAGTTGGCAGATGTACTTTTTCATCACGAAAGACACTAAAATCAATGGACCCCCTTGAATTGATATATATATGATATATATGATATATATATATATATGTATGATATATATGACTTTCTATATGTATATGATATATATGACTTTCTGGAGACTGCAAAACTGTTTGCACTTGCGGGATCCAGCCCTTCCTGTCGTCAAGACGCTGAGGACGCGGGTCTCTTTGAAACGTCCCACCGGCACAACTACAAGCCACTGGATTCAATGAATTGGGAAGAGGCCAAATTTTGTAAGACCAGCTCAGAACATTTTTAGCATCGTTTCATGAATTATTTCAGGGTGCTACTCAATTTTGACCCATACCCATTTGGGAATGGGTGTAAATCCATTGAGCAAGGTCTGAGTGAATCCTTTTTAAGCGTGGTTCAGCAGGATAAAATGGGCTCTGTGGTTCCCTCGTTTTGGGGCTGGATATCTTGGTGTCGTTGCAGACACCTGGTGCAGAGATATCTTATTTATCGCAACCCCCAAAAAGATAGACAAATTGGACACCTGGGAAGTATGGGGAACACATCATCGAACTAGCATCCTGGACATATTGTTCTACTGTATCTTTTTGGTGGTTGCGGATATTGAGATCTTTGGGGATGTAAAAATAGATGTTTTCAATGGGTTTACTGGTTGGTGGTTTGGAATATTTTTTTAATGATTTTCCATATATTGGGAGTAATGATCCCAATTGACTTTCACATTTTTCAGAGGGGTTGAAACCACCAACCAGGTTTATCTCTCGCCTTCCTTTATTGAAAGAAGCTCTTGTGGCCGAACTTTGGGACCTGCCATCAAGAACCCAGAAACCAATCGTTTAGGTGGGTCATGGTTTAGGAACTTCGTATAGATACCCCATGTTAATTTAACATAGCTATAATAACATGGCCCATTCATTTATAGAACATAGTTACCCCCATGAACTAGTTCATTATATCAACCATAAACATCCATAAACCATCGTTTTTTCGCCACTGGGACATTTTGTCATGGGATTATAATAATGGAAAATGACAATAATAATAACAATAATGGGACAATATTAATATTGGGATAATCATGGGATAATCATGTGGATATTGGGATTACCCTCCGGTAAACTAAGAGTTTGCGAACTTGAATAGCTGGCCCAATCGAAATTGTCGGTTTAGCCCTTAAAAATGGGTGGATTCTCCAGTTCGCAAACTGTTCAATTACCAGAGGGTAAGCCACTTAGACAAACTCGTGGGATCTGGTTCCAGGGATCTGGAAAGGGGCTCTCTTGGGATCCATCATTTTGTGTAGCCATATGTTTGTTGTTACAATCTTATCAGTTAAGTATACTTACTCATCAGTAACTGATATAATGGTGTATCTGATATGTCACTGGGTTAGAATTTCGACAACCCAGCTACAGTAGGTTACAGGGTTGCACATCCAACTAGATGGGGGAAAGTTGCCCTCAACCTGCCCAGGGGGTGCCCCGCGATATGCTCGTTGGTTTATCAACCCGCGGAAAAACCATAGATATATACATCAGAGATATCTACCATAAACCCAACAGTTGCAACAGTTTACTAGTTCAACCATCTTAGCTGATTCATAAATCATCCTTGAATCCTACTTCTAAACTTGCCCGGCCTGGTAAACTAACAGTTTGCGAACTTGAAAATGGCCCAGTCGAAATAGTGGATTTACCCATTAATAGCATGGTGGATCTTTCCATAGTTTACCCTTTGGTAATTTAACATAGCTATTGAAAATGGCCATTTATCATGGATTTTCCAAAAAAAAATGGTGATTTTCCATCGTTTTTTGTTAGTTTTCCTGGTCCCTGGCTTGCCATCCGGTCCCAGCTTCAGGGAGAATCACGACCACTTGCTCTTCGTGTCCTATCCCTGCGGCTTCGCGAAGTTTGCGTCCAGGAACTTCGAGAAATGGCCTGAGACTTTGGAATCCGGACATCTGGTGCAGTGCTTCAACATCGTGCACCTCTTCTGAATCCTGATCTTACTGGTGCGTTTTTACGCAGGGAATGAGGGAATGATCCATAATCACTAGTAATAATCCCTACTAAGCACCAGTAAGTGATCCATGGTGCTGGAATATGAATCCCAACATTTGCCCTTGTCCAAAATCACCCAGTGAATTGTAGGTTTCTATATACCAGCACCATGGTTCGCATATGGGTCTGATTTTCCCCCATCTTTTCGGAGATTTTCTGCCAGATGTTCCTCCAACTTTCCCAACATTTTTCCGAAAAATCTTGGGGATTCCATGGCGCCAGATCGCTCCGCGAGCACCGCGGACCTCGTCCCCCCAGATTCGATGCATTTTTTGTGTCAGGGACGACTTTTCAAAGTTGAGAAAGTTATGGTACCCTCTGGTAAACTAACATAGCTATGGAAAATCACCATTTTCAATGGGAAAATTCACGAACTGAATCACCATTTTCAATAGCTATGTTAAATTACCAGAGGGTACTTAGAAGGGATTGGAAGCTAAGAAAAAGAGATCTTGGGGGCCGCTTCGACAAGTGTTTCAAAACCGATATCATCTAATTATGCAATAAAAACACCCGAGTTCTATAGATGGATCATTCTTCATTCTTCTAATTTTTTCTTCAATCCACAACTTTGCTACACCAATGTGTCCAATATTTTCCAATCTTTTTCCCAAATTTCTAAGTTTTTGTTGGCGCGTTATCCAGGCATGTTTTGGATTCCAAGCGTGTGCGTCGCCTGGAAAACCGCGTGAGGGTGCTGGCAGAGGCAGGGGTAGTGGCTGGAGCCGGCTGTGAACGGGAAGGGAACGAGGATGTACTCAAACAAAGAAACTGAGAATCAATTATAAACTGAGGAATTAGTGGGAGAATAATCTTGGAATTTTCCATTGCCACGTTTGATTACTGGAGGGTACCATCAGATTGAAGCAACAAAATGAGGATTTCAATCAGTAAAAATGGTGGCATTTGATTTTGTTCGGACACATTTTGATATACCCTCTGGCAATTCAACCGTTTGCTATGGAACATCACAATTTTCAAGAAATAAAATCATCGCGCTAAATGAACCATTTTCTATATATGTTAGTTTACTGGAGGGTATAAGATTACCCATAGATCGGGATTACCCAATCATATTTTTCACGGGATTAACCAGTTAAAACGAGATTTAGTATTGAAAAAAATGATATGTCACCATCAACCATCAATCTTGGGTACACCTCAAATTAGCCACTGATATACCCTCTGGTAAACAAACATAACTATGGAAAATCACCATTTTTTATGGGCAAATCAACTATAAATGGCCATGTTCAATAGCAATGTTAGTTTTCCAGAAGGTATAGGATTATTGGGATCTAATTTCACTATGAAAAAGATGGTGACTTTACCAACAGACATGTCTAAAATCCAGCAATCCAACTGGGCATTTTTATCGTATCACCCACTTCCTAAGTGGCCTTGGTTTATAACAACCATTATATAACTATAGTCATAATAAGTCTCATAAACCCTATCGTGAAATTGGAGCTATGTGGCCCCCAACTTAGCTATCGTAAATGGAGGCCCCCCATTGTAGTCATCCTCAATAAACATGGTACCACAAGTTTTTTACTATGTTGTTTTTTCTTGATTTCAACCCAGGAATTTCCTGAGTTTTGTACAGAGAAAAAACTGTCACTAACGTTTGTTTATAGAGTCCCAGTTTCCGTTTTTTTTCCTGTTTTTTTTGGTTTCAAATGCAACGATAGTATGAACATATATTAAATTTGCTATGGTGATTTTTCCTGATTTCAAACTTAAAACGGCTTCCTAAGTGGGGAGTTTCCCTTGGTTTATAGCCCCCTTTAGCAATAGTTAAAAAATAATTTAATTTTCATGAATTTCCTTTTTTTTTTACAGAGTCATAGTATTAAACTTACTTGTGCTTAGTAGGGAATGGGGGAATGATCTAAAATAACTATTAACCATCATCCCATTCCCCCGTTCCCTACTAAGAACCAGTAAGTAAAATGCATTGAAACAGCATTGTGAAATTGGAGTTATGTGGCCTCCAACTTAGCTATAGAATCTAGGGTGCCCCACATTATAGTATCAAGATGTATTAAAGCAGCATTGTCAATGGATTGGTTTGAGGGACAATTTACTGGAAGCCCTATATTTCATGGGAAAATCTATGGTTGACATTGTAAGCCCCATATATCATGCGGAGCCCCATATGGAGCCCCATATTTATTATGCCATACAATCTAACAATATTATGGAAATATCTTATGGAAGCCCCATATATTATGTTCAGATGTTTCCCAACAAAACGAATCCATTGACTGGATTTTTTTTTGAGGTACGTCTGACTGGGAGAATCAGCATAAAAATAGTCATTTCACGGCATTTCCAGTCGAAAAAGTTCTGAAAAATCCATTGAGACCATGAAATCCCCATTTTTTCCATTCAAGTGGCTCTGAGTCACCCTGGCACCTTAGGACTTAGGATCCTCAAAAAATAGATAGCTGGTTGGTGGTGACTGGAACCATGGAATTTGATTAGACTTTCCAGAAACAGTTGGGAATGGAATAATCATCCCAACTGACTCATATATTTTTCAGAGGGGTAGGTTGAAACCACCAACCAGATATCTATTATTCTATATGTATATATATATATATA